AGATAAGTTTTTATTTTTTGTTTTAAACTACTTTTGGTTTTAATTGAGACTTTTTGTTGGTTTGACAATGATTTCTACTTTTAAACTAAAGTGTGGTTTTGTTTTCTCCATGGATTCTGAGTAGTTTTCTTCATCGTTCTTCTTAAGATGATATGTATTTAAGTGTTAGATAGAAATTGTGTAGAATATTGATCTTTAATGTTAGAAAAAATTGTGATGATTTAAATGCATGTACTTCATTGACTTCTTGATTTGGCCAATCCAGAAATTAAAATTTGATGTGAGAACATGTAAGAACCAGGCTGGTATTGTCTCTGTCAACAATTGGAAAGAATCACATGAGATTGTATGAATGAGAAATTAGTTCATATGATTGAGTGCAAATAAATAGAAAAATATTCATTGAAGGGTGTAGATTTGTGGGACTTTAAAGTGACAAGTTAAAGCCCCCAACTTGGTTTACTGTTTTAGGTTCTGATAGAAGATGTTATCCCCCAGGTGGAGGGAATTGAGGGAACTCTAGAGTGAGAGCTAGTATCTTCCCTGCCTAGCAGGTCTTCAGAACTATTCAAACTTTAAATTATCTAATGTTTTTTATATCATCTCTAGTATGGGTAAGGAATATTATTGTTTCTATCTGGCACAACACAATATGCATACTTCCATAATAGAATTCCTATACTTATTACTAATTCATGATAAGGAGAAAGATATTTTCATATTTAGTGCTTTCCTTCTACAAAAACTCATGTTATCTTTTTAAGTTTGTACTGTTTTTGTCAAAATATTAAGATTACCAAAAATATTTAAACTTTTTTTACTGCAAAAATGTCTTCAGTTTGAATAATTATCTTTTTGAACATAAAAATTTTCCTAAAAGTGCATATTGCATATCTTCTATGTGGGTTTGATATTCAAGTCTTAATCAAAAAGTCCTATATTACTTGATAACGATACATATACTTACGTAGTATCCAAATATATATAAATTAAAAGTTAAATTTTAATTTTTTTTAGGATCAAGCTTTTGGTTTTGTTGTAAAATAAGGAAATATATGTGAAAATTATAATCATAATTATTGTTATATTATTGCATATAAGCAGTTATCTCGGATCATGTTTTTTCTGGTTCCATTGTCGGGACTTGAACCCGGGTCTCTCGGGTGAGAGCTGGTTATCCTAATGAACTACACTTCAACGGAATAAAATGTTTTGGAGAGTCGAGTGAGAATTGTGATGTGATGTGTTTTCATGTTTTGGACTTGAATATGATGTGTGAATTGTTTATAATTGTGTTTTGGACAACTCAAGTTATATACTGTTGCATATAAGTAGTTATCGAAGATCAAGTTTTTCTGGTTTCGTTGTCAGGATTTGAACTCGGGTCTCTCAGGTGAGAGCCGAGTATCCTAACCAACAAGACTACAATGGAATAACATAATTTAGACAGTCGAGTGAGAATTGTGATGTGATTTGTTTTCATGTTTTGTGACTCTCACAAATATCTCAAAAATTTGCAATATCTCTGGTCACTTCAAATTTATTATATTTCTTCTACAAAAACTCAAGTTATCTTTTTAAGTTTGTACTATTTTTATCAAAATATTAAAACTACAAAAAAATATTTAAACTTTCTTTACTGCGAAAATGTCTTTAGTTTAAATAATTATCCTTTAAAAAAAAAAGAAAAGTTTTCCAAAAAGTGCATATTGCATATCTTCCTTGTGGGTTCGATATTCAGATTTTAATAAAAAAGTCTTATATTACTTAATAATAATACGTATACTTGCATAGTATCCCAATATATATATATATATATATATATATATATATATATAACTTAAAAGTACTTACGTCAGCATATGCTAAGTGGTACAAAGGAATCATTGGCTGACTTAAAATGAGCTCCTCATAGCAAAAGGCGGCCTGCTTGTACCTGAGAATGGGATGTTGCTCAGAGATGCACTTCGCCTAATTATGTACAATAAAGCTATTGTCAGGACCTTACATCTGAATTGAAATATATAGTTCAGCGAGTTCTCTCCAAGCATCATGATCCGCCATAAATCTATAAAAAGAATACAGCATCTAGTACAAATTTGTCTCAAAACCTAATAAAATGGATTTCTACCATAAAATATTTATATGAGAAACCAAACGAGAAGGATAGCTACCATTAATAGTTCTAGATGCATCAGCAAAAACCAAAAAAATAAATTTCCTTACATCTCCAGATAGTTATTAAGATATTCCGCTGCGGCAGCTGAATTTCCTTGTGCCTTTGCTATAGCCACCTTCCTCTTAAGAATTACCTGGACCGGAGCACAAAATATTTCATTCACCAAATCATTCAAATAATGCACAAAAAATGTTAGATCTTTACATCATTAATTAAGAAAGAAGACAATAAAACAACTCTCAATAATGTTGCACATGTTTCAATCAGGCTTAAAAAAATTCTTTTCTATTATGGCAGCTTTATACCAGCAACTGAAGCTTCAAGCATACTATAAGGTGATTGCAAAAAAAATTTAAGATTATTTGGCTATATGCAATGAAGGGTAGAAAATGTGCCTGTTAGATGAATTGATAAAATTAAAGTTAGATGACAAAAAAAAAACACAAAAGGGTAGACCTAAAATTACATAACTGTAAGTAATTCAAAAAAAAAATTATGAATAAAAGGTTTAACAACTCAGAAAATGACGATGAAAATTCAAAATACCAGCCATAAATAGTTGGGATAAGGCCAATAATGAAGATGATAAAGCTGCAAGCATAATATAATCTCATGCGAAGCTTTAGCATACCATCATCTTTTCTTGATTAAATGTAACTAATTATTTCAAAGCTACTCAATACAACATCCATCCTCTAGAACAATTAGTGTAATGCAAGCAACTCAAAGAATTCTAAACATGGAAAGCAAGACAAAAATGTCAATCAGTACAAAACAACCCATCATGCTACCTAGACTAGACTTAATACAAGCTGTGAAACATTAGGCTTAAGGCCATGTCAAACTGAACAGACTTCTCCATAACGAAAGATGTAAATAAGCCACATTTGAGCATATTTTGTTCAGCTAGCCACTTCAAGCAAACAAGCCAAATTTTTTTTTCTATGTATTGCTCAGTTAACTTAATAAACAAATATGAGTATATACACTCTCCACATATGTATTTATATGCACACATATACACATATACATTTAATTTCTTTTTTAAAAGGGATGTCAAAAAAGCCCATATTGAACTTAAGCTAATGTAGACCATCATGCAAATTTTGAAGGACCCATTGCAAGATCAAGATTGAGTGCTGCTAAGATATTGTCATCAATTAACCATCAATAAATTCTTGATACGAAGCTCAAAGAAAAATAATAAAAATACGCAAATAACTCAATTTAGTCAAAACATTTATAATTTCAAAATTTAATTATAATTTTCATATGGTACATTTTGGAATTATTTTTCCTTTATTTTAACAATGTTTTGGTGATTTTTTTTTTTTTTTGGGAGTGGGGGGGGGGGGGGGGAGGTTCTTAATTGGGAGGAATTGAAGTATTCCGTTCAATTTCCTTGTTTGTTTCCCAATATTTTAACTTCTTGCCCTTATTTTTTAATATTGTAAATAGTAGAATATGCTGTAATAATCCAAGTACTGAGGGAATGAATAAAAAAAAGTTTCAATACTAAAAAAGGAAAAAAAAAGTGACATCTCTAGAATTGAGAGCATGGGGCTAACTCCCTCCACTTAGTATTTTCCTTGGTGAAAGATCTAGCAATACGACACAAGATCACACTGGGGGACCAATCACAGAAAGCCAACTAGGGAAGCAAAAGGGGGGCTATTCAATGACAAGGGCATAGGAGTAGAAGTCCAGTAACGATGACAAGTTAATATTTGCCTTTTTTTTTATATATGTAAGTAATGTTGTATGAGAACTATACGACAGTAATTTGTAGTCTCTGAACATTTAGTTTTTTAAAAAAAATTTGAGATTCAAAATTTATATGTTGAACGGTAAAAAATCAAAATTTTGATGTTTAAAGATACAATTTTCATTAGAACGTGATTACTGGATTTGAATTTTAATAAAAGTATTTCCCACATCTTTAGTTGAACTTCACTCATTGGAGGTGGCACTTATACTTGTGTAATCACCTCTCTTATCCATCTCTTTCGTGTAATATGAATTTGCATGGATGTGGACACTACAGATAATTTCTGAAAAGAACAAAGCAATAAAGAAGTGGGTGTCATTAAAAATAATAGATTTGATTCTAATAAAGAGAAGCTTTGTGCCTAAGGCTGTTAACAATCTAATTTCTAGCCGAGCTTGGATCAACTCAAAAAAAATTTGATTCAAAATTTTGACTCGTAGCTCAACCCGTTTATTTCAATCTGACCTCAAAACGCGGCAAAATTCAAATGAATTTTCAAGTGATTAACGATTTTCGAGCTAAATTTGCTAACCCTAATCTCACTAGGGCAGTTAACGATTCAATTTGGAGCCGAGCTTGGGTGGGCTTGAAAAAAATTCAATCCAAAATTTTGGCTAATAGCTCGATTTGTTTATTTCGATCCAATCACGATCCGAGCCAAAATTCGAATGAATTTTTGAGCGATTAACAATCTTCGAGCTAAATTCACGGCCCTGTTTAGCGTCAAACCTCCACTTAAGGAGATTTATTGATCTCTCCAACCCCTACACTTGGATTAAACCTAATTATTTATTGCTACAGAACTCGTTCCCTATCCTACCACTATCATTGCATACCAATTCCCTAAAAAATTTCTTACAAAACCAGAATTATAAGTTATTTGAATGTCGGCAGCCATGAGCTGTTTTAATAAGATCTAGAAAATTTAAACATCATAAACCACCTAGAAAATTTTGAAACACTCCAGAGTCAAATAGAAAAATTACCCCATCATTAAAAATATTTTCAGCCATTGGCCTATCCCTCCACTAAAGCCCTACTTTGTAAGTTTGAGAGCAACTCAAATCCTACCACTGGATCCAAAATTTTGACGAGTAAGAAGGTAAACCCACATTGCCAACCCCAATTGCATGCAAATCAAATCCAACCATTCCCTTATTAAAGCATATATACCCCTTCTAACAACTTTTAGGTTCCCCACAAGCCAAACTGAACCACCAATCAAATCTAGCCCATGGGCATCTATGCTATTAATAACAGGCTGCCTCTACAAATCAAACCAAGCCAATTATCTTGTAACTTTTCATTAACCAAAGCTTACTAAAGTGATCTCAAGTAGTGGGGGAGTGCAACACTACAATATAAAACCTTGATCTGCAGTACAGCCAACCCTTGATAAAATCTGGAACTTAATTAAATTGATTGCTTTAAATCAATAACTTTGGAATCACACTTAGTGCCACTTTCAAATTTTTATTCGCAATTATTTAAAGGCTGTTATTTTTTAAATCAATCTCAAACTCATTTTTTCATAATCAAATCTGAGAAAAATAAATTGCATATTAAAACTTTAGTTGAGTAAATGAACATCTTTGAGGGCCTTGTCGCTAAGACAATATCTTGACTAAGAATAACAACTGGCCAATAAATTTGTCATTGGTCTTATAATAGAAATTAGAAACGAGGTTGAGCTCCATGATCCATAGGCCTAACAAGATGCTTTCAATTATGTTTTGCTCCTCAAAATAAAAAATATAAAAAAAAGACATATGAATAGGGGTGTAAATGAGCCGAACATGTTCGGCTCATTTATATTTCGAGCTCAAAATGTCTGTTCGTGTTTGGCTCGTTTTCTTAGCGAGTCGAACACAAGTTGTTCACGACCAAAGACTCGTTTTGACAACCCAAATCACGTAGTCGTAAGATGTTAAGGGCTGGGACAAAATTTAAAAATTATTATTTACATTAAAACATCATTTGAATCTAATTTAATAATTTTTGTTCTATTTTTTTAATTAATACCTCTTTAATTGATTATATTAATACCTTTAATTGATTATAAATCTTTGTAGCCTTGTAGTCAATTAATTTTTTTTAAAATAATACCCTTCAATATATATAATTGATGAGCAGAATTTCGAGCCAGAACGAGCCGAACACTAACGAACAAATCTTTGTTCGTGTTCGGCTTGTTAACTTAGCGAACGAGCCGAACACGAGTTGTTCTCCAACGAGTCGTTTTGATAGCCCTACATATGAAATTCACATGCATACTAGATCAAAGGGCCAAATTTAAACACTTCAAAACCAAATGTTTATTTTTAGCCCTAGCCCATCATCATCTAATGCCCCAACTAGCAAAATTACTAGTGAACCTACTTCAAAGAACACTAGAGACATGATTTGCTTTAAGTGCCCTAAAAGGGAACAAATACATCAAACAATGCAAAACATGACTCATGTTCTTAAATGAAGTAGAGGAATGATGATTAGAATGATTAATAAGTTTGTGATGCACCACATTATCCAATGAGAACATTGGAAAATCCCATTGACAATTATGTAGGCGTCTTAAGATGTGTCCATAGCTAACAATGAAGGTTAGAAGAGAGAAAATAATTTTACAATGTATGTCATGTGCACTGAGAAGAGATAGGGTTGATGATTAAAGAGGACAGTACCATAAATGTGATATCCACATAGATTCTTAAAGACTAATCTCAAATCAGAATCTTATTCAGAATCATTCTATACGAGCTGAGTAAATCACACTTCTTTACCTATCATATCTAGATATCTAACACCATCAAAATGGGTAGTTATGAAGATCAGCCATAGTGCGATCTCCTTCCTATGAAATACATGTCATATTCTACCACACAAATCATGGCTATATGATATGTAATACAATATGGTTAAGAAAAAACAAACATATTCAAACTCAAAAGGATGAATATCCTTTTTTTCATATAAAGCCATAAAAAAAGCACCATCTCTTCCAAATAAACCCAGCCTAAGCTAAGCCATAAGAAAATGCTAAGCTTCAATTTATAGTTATTTTTCACAGCATAATATTAGAAAAAAAAATTTTAAACTTCTAAAAGCCACACAACTCACCCTTCAAACTTAAACATCAGAATAGAACAAGTAGAATTTAATAGCTTGATGAATTAATTTTTTTGTCTTACTTCTTTTTGTATCCGACATATGAGGAAAGTTATCTATGATTCAAATGAGCACCACATACCTGCTATAACTTTAGATTAGTTATTTGAGTTTAAAGATTAGACCAATGATGATCCAATAGATGAGTTATTACCAGAGAAGGATATTCACCATACTATAGATTTGATCCTTAATTCACA